GGTCTCATCCGTTGGCGTCAGCAGCTGGAGTTTCAGCAGCTTCTGGCCAGCTTGACGACAACCGTGAGATAGCGCGTTTTTACCGCTGGAAACTCCTTTTCCTCCCTGCTTGACACATCACGCACAATGGGCTGTCGTCTTTCTGCGTGGAGAAGGAAAGACCCAAGTTGCCACATAACATTGTACGGGATCATCGCTACAGACCGACACGACACTTGGACCACGACGTACTACAAATCGTCTCGAGCTTTTTAGCGGTCTCACTTCAACTTCAGCTTCATGCAGGGCGGATCACTCTTCCGTGTTGGCATCGATGTCGAGTTTTGGCGGGTGCTGATCCATTTGAGCATCTTGGCGTTCTGTCTCGTTCTTTTCGAGGCAGCACTCCACCACGTAGAACGAAAGCTCTCTCGCTATGACAAGTACCATCACATGCTTCGGAAGGCCTATCGAGAACTCATGGCTCTTGGTTTACTGAGTCTTGGCCTTAAACTTCTCAAGGAAGTGCCGGGTATCCACCCCGATGGCAAGACAATGCTAGCGTTCCAAGTGGCCGACTTGACCATCTTTATCTTTGCCCTTGCTCTCATTCTGCAAGCGATTGTTGTCTTCACGCAGCTCCGCAAGCACAACAAAGAATCCGACCAAACTGAGCTCATCACAGCGCAAGACTTGGTCAACACGATGCGGCCACCGGCTGGAACGCCGCCACTCGAAGCCTTTACGCAAACGAGAGCGCCGAGATGGTTTTGCTGGACGAGAAAATCTGCCAAAGGATTTGACCTGGAAGTCGTCGAGCGTCGACTGCTTCGTCACTTGTTTCTACGGCGCTTTGGACTACCGCAGCTTTTTCCGTTCTCCAAGTATCTCAGTCGAGCTCAAGCCAACCAAATTGAGTACATGATTGAAGTCGAGCCATCCATGTGGGTGCTCTTGCTGGCAGTGGCTTGGACGCTCTGTGGCTTTCTCGATGCTCTCAAAGAACTGGACGTGGATCTCCCTGAAAAACATGAGCTCGTTGAAGTGTTTGTTGTATTTGCCTGGGTGTTGGTGATCCTACACATTGTGGTGCTGCTGTGCTTCCGCGCGTGTGTTCACCAGCTTCTTGTCGCTGCTGGGTATAGCAAAGACCAGTCGACGCTAGTTGACAACCTCCGCTCCATCGCGGAAGAAGAAGCTGCTGCCTCGCGCATGGAAGCAGCGGACACTGCTTTGTGCACTATGAACCGTGTCCACGAAGTACTTGAAGAGATCCAGGATAGTCGCAATGCCGAGCGTCACGTTTTACTACGAAAAGACGTTGGCTTACAGCTCGTGGCAACCTGTTGCCGCAAAATGAACGAACCGTACACGGGTATCAGCATCAGCCGCACACCAAGCGGGGTACAGATTGGGACCCCAAACATCCACATCCGATTCTTCTCACGCAAAGTGTGGCACGTCACAGTCATGTTCATGCTGATTCTCAATGGGTTCTTCATTGCTCTGTTAGTACAGTGCGCCGTGTACGACCTGACCAATATCTACATGGAGTTTGGACTAGTTCAAGCCATTGTGGTTCCGCTCCCTTTGATTCTCAACACGTTTGTGTTTCAGCAGCGCATGTTCCGATACTTTGTCATCGTCTGCAGCATCCTCCGTGTGGACGCCAATACGTTGGGTGAAGTGATCGCGCATTTCAGCGAGATTGTGGAATTGCGGTCGGAATTTGCGTCGTCCTTGCTCGACTGCTTGAAGGAACGGGACTACACGATCATCGACTTGCACCGAGAACTCCGTGCTTATGACCCACAGCAGACTGGGATGATCGACGTGAACCGACTTCGATCGGTTTTAGCACTACTTGGCTATCGCTTGACCCGCTTTCGCTTCAATAGTGTCGCAATGATGCTCTTTGAGCTCAATGGCACCCGAGTCGAGTATGGCCAATTGCTGCATCTGCTGATCCTTGCACATAACGAAGCTATCAGTGACAGTGGTGGCCGCACAAGTCAGCGGCGCCAGCACCCGCTCTTGAGGCGGAGCATCGCTTCCTACGACGACTGTCAACGTCCAAGCTCACGAACAAACCGATCCAGCTCGCAGACCTCACGCGAAGTACCTTTACTACCTCAACCGAGCTCGGGCATTGCACCTGGCTCGAGTGATTTCGTCATTTTGGCCACACCGGGCTCGCGTCGAGTCTCGGTCTCTAGGATATCCGAGTTGCACTCGAGCACGACTGTCGAACAGACTCATGGACGGACTCCAGTGTTACATCGCAGCTACGCTTATCAGTTCCCTAGCTCAAGATCTCGAGGGCTTCAAGACGCTTTTAGTTTCTACAAAGGCCCCTACGCCCAGGTGGACTCGACTTTGGTCTAAGAAGAGACGGTCTTTCACGATCGATAAGGTATCCGCTTTGAAGAAAGCATGAAGGATTACTCTGCTGCACTTTTCAATGGAGTTGTCGATAGGAGCAGACGCAGGTGCATATCCAAATCAATTGAAGCACGATGGACGGACAAGGTAAAGGCTGAATTTGGACGACCGTGTCTAGTGGCACGTCGGCAATCGCTTGATTTTCAAGCATCTCGTCCTTGCACTGAAATGTGCTAGAGATCACGCGACCTTACCCGGCCCGCGATCTTGACCTTTCTGGACGCAACAGTAGCACGAAGAAGAACCTGCTGGAAAAAACTTGTGAGATCGAAGGGCGTCTACGGAGACGACCAGCGGTGACAGGTTATCGTATCATCTGTCGATGTTTCTGGTGAACGAAGGGCTGGGACGCACAGCTTCGTGGCAATGCGATGCATAGCCAGTGACAAACGCGGTGTAACATGCGGCACTTCAGCTCAGCTGGTCACGACCGGGTGCATGCTAAACTCGGTGAGGTCAGAAAGCTCGCGCGTTACGAGGAAGCCAATAGCATATTATTGGAGGACAAAAAAATACTCTATATTCCGACGCAAATGCAATAACAATTCCTCCATGTCTCTTGCGCACATACAGGGGAATTGCTAGCCAGCCTGTCGCGTTTCGCTCCACAGCCTGTCGGCCAACCTGCTGCGCTGTCATTGGCTGCTTACACGCGGCTGCGTCGATTTTGGCTACGTCTTATTGTGCGATCGATATAGTCTCAGATAAATTAGCAATCAAATTATCGTCGACACGTTTGGTTAATACAAGTTTTCAGATTGAAAGCAATCTGCATCCCCCGCCCTACGCAAACATCGTAGGTAAGCTTCAAAAGCAGCGTCTACATTATCCCGATCGAAAAAAAGCACTTTATTCATGACATGCTTTTTTATGACTAGTTCAAATCGGGGAAACACGGACTCCAAGACATCGAATGCCGAGCGCACAGCTCGAATTCGTGCATGAGGAGAAGCTCGAGCAGAACAAGAATGGACAGAAGAAAACTGAAATGCCGTGTCGAAAGTTGTCGGTCGACTAATCTACAGCGACCGTACGTTGTGAAGTGATATCTACGATGGGCCGTTCATGCAGTGTAACGGGGTAGCCCGTTGCATGATATCGACACCAACGGTGTCAATGGGAATATTGACTAGCATGACAGTATTCTACCGATATTATTCAATATGGATAATTTGAAGGAATATTATTCCCTTTTGGATAATAGTCATGCGCTACTCCAAGATTGGTTGATGGAAGACATATAAACCATAGGTTGCCACCAATCGCTGCTAGACGTGCGCAATGAGTGGTGAGCAGGTTGTCGTCATACGACGACTGTAACGGAGCACCCTGAAGCTTGTACTGGTGACAGTACAAGCTACTTATTCTGATGACAGAATAAGGCGGTGCCTCGTTACTTCACGTACACTGGTACGTGCAGAGGAAGACGGTAAGAAGAAGCGAGTACTTGGTTAAAGTAAAAAGTAGAACTGTATTTATCATAGTTAATGTCTGCAATAAATCACTATTTATCTTCATCTAACTATGTCTAAATACAAATGTGTAAATCAGTTATCTGCTCACCACTCATTGCGTGTGTCTGTCGTGGCGCGTCTTCGTTGGTTGACATAATGGCCTATATCTACCAATTAGGAACTACTCGTAAGTGCTACAGAATATTGTCCTTATGACAATATTCTGAGAATATAACTCTTATAGTTATATTCTATTAACAATTTCTTATAAATTGTTATGTAACGATTTACCCCGTTACATCACCCCCCCTTAACCATCAGTCACTTTAGTGACTGATTGACTAAATGGATACTCGTCCCAAATCATTTGGGACAGGGTTTGCACTTGTTGGTCCGAGTCCACTTTCCAACAGTGTCATCGCATGGTTAACAAGCCCATGTGATGCGCGAGCAAGGCCGCCGAGAGCGCGTCCGCACGTCTCTGTGCGGACGCCGGAGCAGAAACCACAGCAACTGATGTCTCATCGGTTGCTGAAGCGACTCAGCCTGTGTCACCTGGTGATGCAGGCGCTCGTCATGAAGACACTCATGTCTTCGCAGAGTATGAGCTCGGTGTCACCTTGAGGATGTAGGTCGTGACGCTTGGAACGACAAACTTATCAAAGCTCGTGATAAGTTTGAGAAAAGAACCCCGACAGGTGCACGCTACAAGATGCATCGTCTGTCAAGGGAGAAAGGACTACCCTGCCTCTCTTGGGGAGACTCGTGCCCATGTTGTGTAAACAACTCTGCACGAGCACCTAAGGAGGCTTACCTCCAGAATAGCCCGTGGTGGCGCGTACGTATCTCTAGTGAGATGTACGAAGGGATTGACAACCTGAAATCCCTTTACGACCGTGCCGGGAAGACTTTCTCCGGCGGTCCTACTGCGGCACAGGATGTGCCGCGTCGTACTGCTCAACCAGACCCAGTACGTCGATCATCAGTTGGGAGCGGGGCTTCAAGTATCATAGGACGGGGGATAGCCGCGCCACCGGACGAGATAACTCGTCCGACGTCCGTTCACATCGCGGTGGTTCAACAGCTGCTCAACTAGATAGCGCCGGCCACCGCGAGAGTCCTCTAATGGAGGTGGAGGAGGAGGAAAGACGCTCTCCACACGATCGTGGGGAAGCGTGTGTTCCCGAGAGCTTCTTTGATCGCGTAACGCAAGGGTTACGCGACGATCTCGAACATGAGCGGAATAGGCGTCTCCAAATGGCGGACACTGCCTCGAAGCATCGAGCTGAGTTTGCCTTTGCTCAGCTTGAGAACTAGAGATCTCTGACATCTCTTCGTGACGAGCTAAGGGTAGCTCGTGGGATTGTTGATCGGTCTCGGGATGAGATAGCTGCTCTTCAGACCCTTGTTGATGCCCACCATCGGGAGCACAAGGCTCTCTGCGAGATGCTTGAGCGCAAGGGCGTTCTTCATCGGAATAAGCAGCGTACTGGTGGTACGGCTTAAGCCGACCAACGTAAGTGGGATGCGTTCGCATCTTACGTGGTAACGCGATCGTGTATGCATTGCCTAGGCGGTGCAATACACGAAATGGGCCGATGTACTTGGGTAGTAGTTTACTGCTACCCAAGTTAGTCACTACTTGCTTTGGTAAATTAACCGTAGACAGTAGGACTAAGTCACCCTATTGAATAAAAGAGTGTTTGCCCTTCCATTCTTGTCAGCTTTTTGCTTTTGCCTATCCACCGCTTCGGCGATGGAGTCTTGCACAAAACGGACTACCGTTTCACGAGCCAGTATGAACTCATCTGATGACTCGTTAGCTTCAGTGCGCTGTGAACGCACTGCAGCGACAACAATCTTTTCTTCAGTGAGGGCTTCCGCACTCTCACTGGCATCATCTTCTTCGATATCGATGTTATCGATATCGGCATCAAACGCAATGACCTCTTCGTCAGAGCGTGATGAGCGTGAACCAAATCGGTTTTTGCTCGCGCGAGTCCCTCCCCCCCTGAAACCAGAGTCACACTCTAGTAAGGTGGGTACACGCGGATGGCGCAAGCCATTCACGTAAAACGGCGTATGTGTCGTGGACGCATGCACCGAGTTGTTAATGGCAAACTCTACCATTGGCAAGAACTCACTCCAACTCTTAAAGGAGTGTACGTATCCTCGAAGTATCTCTTCGAGGACACGATTGGCACGTTCCGTCTGACCATCTGACTCTGGATGATCAGATGTCGACATCTTCAAGCGCGTTCCGAGTGATTTGAACACGGAACGCCAGAAATCAGCAGTGAAACGTGGATCTCTGTCTGATACGAGTTCACGGGGCAACCCATGAAGTCGGAAGATGGTGTCAATAAAGACACAAGCACAGCCACTTGCTGTGATTGACTCTGGTATAGCCACAAGGTGTACCATTTTGCTGAATCTGTCAACAAAAACGAGAATACCCGTATTCCCGCGTGCGTCTTTGGGTAACCCGAAGACGAAATCCATTGAGATGGATTCCCAGCACTCAGCCGGAACCGGTAGAGGCTGTAAAGGTGCACGCAGTGAAGGAATTGACTTCACTCGCTGACAGACTTCGCATGCGCGAATGTACTTGCGCACAAACTGATACTGGCGGGGCCAGTAAAAGTCTCGACTCACCGTGAGATGTGTTTTCTCCCGGCCACGATGTCCTCCTATTTGGAGCATCGTGATACTCGAACATGATCCTCAAACGCAGATCAGTATCATCTGGAATGACAACACGTGGTGTGTCACCAGAAACGGCTGTATAATACAGTAAACCGTTGCGAGTAGTGTATTGATCCGATGCAGATCGATACGCAGACGATAATCGTTTCAACGACTCTCGAGAAGGTCGTGAGAGATGTGTCAAGAGCTTCACAATCTCACCATCTTGGGCATATGCCCACCTCACATCATCATGCAACGTTGAAGATGGTACTGAGGACGTCATAACCGCAACAGTGACTGCCTCACTGTTGGGTTTCACGACTGGTTCAAAGTCGGGGCGACGTGAGAGTGCATCAGCGACGACATTAAGTCGTCATGGTTTGTAATCTACCGTAAATTTGTATTCTGCAAAGAATGACAACCACCGCGCCATCCGCTGTGAAAGGTGCGGGCTGTTCACTGCCGTGCGTAATGACGCATGGTCAGTATAAACAACGAAGGGTCTATCTCCTAATAGATAGACTCTGAACTTCGCGAGTGCATACTTCATGGCAAGGAGTTCCTTGTCATGCACTGGATAGTTCCGCTCAGCTGGTTGCAGCTGACGCGACTGATAGCAGACGACGCGTTCAACGCCTTCAAGATCGTACTGCATTAATGCACAGCCGATTGCGAAATCGCTGGCATCATAGACCACATGAACTGGCCTGTCCTGATCGGCTATTGCTAGGACTGGGGATTGTATCAAGCTCTGCTTGATACCCTCAAAGGAGCGCTGACATTCAGCGTTCCATAACCACCTCTCGTTCTTTTTCAACAAACGAGAGAGGTGCACAGTCATCTCGGCGCAATTGCGTGAATACTTATGCAAATACGCCGCTAGCCCAAGGAATTTCGAAGACCTTTGACATCGACTGGCACAGGCCAGTCGGTGATCGCCTTGATCTTTTCGAGATCAGGACGTACACCGTTCTTACCAACGATGCACCCAAGAAGTGGTATTTCGCTTGCTGCAAATATACACTTCTTGAGGTTTGCATACAATTGATGCTTTCGCACGATTGTAAGAACCTGTCGGACGTGGTACCTGTGAACCTCAACGTCCGACTTTCCATCCATAGCCCGGCTATGGATGAATACGTCATCGAAATAACTTGGCGCGAATTCTCGTACTGGTCTCAACAGATGTGATACACATCTGTTGAACGTGGCAGGGGCATTACTTAGCCCTTGTGGCATTAATAGCCATTCCCAGAGCATGCCGCTAGGCGTGCTAACTGCGGTATAGGGTATATCCCATTCTCGCATAACGATTTGATAGAAGCCATCCATCAAATCCATGGACGAAAAGATGGTACTCTTTGACATACCATCAATGATTACGTCCTTCCTCGGTATCGGCGTCTGAGCCGGTACCGTTGCAGCATTCAACTTGTTAAATGCATGCACTATCCGCCACCTTCCTGTTGCTTTTCGCACACAGAAGGTCGGAGAGCTATGTGGGGAAGTTGATTCCCTCACATGGCCCGCAGCTAAACGATCGGCAAAAGAACTTGTCGATCGCAAGTACTTGTTCACGAGGCAGTGGCCACTGCTTCATGACACAGTACTTCGAGCCTGGTTTAAGCTCGACCTCGTGTCGAATACCTTTATCCTTCGGTAATTCGCACGGAACAGTTTCAGGGAATACATCCTTGAATTCAACCAAATCTTCATAGAGAGGATTTGTCTTGAGCGATTCCCGCGGTTGGGAGTCATATCGCTCAACTCGTGTCTTTTTCATCTAGGACACTCTCGTCCATAGATGAACTACTGAGAACTCTCTCGTTCTCAGTGAACACTGTTGCTGACCTTATGTCGGTTACACACTCGTCGTCAGCGACGAGTACGCAGATCTGCTTGGCTTTGCCACTACGCAGATCACGCAAGATCCTTTTATGTTCGAGCGTTGGCAACTGAGTGATCTCCGAAGTCAACTTCGGAGGCGCAATCAGATCAAGTGTATAAGCGCCTAACTTGATCCGTTATTGACTATGACATTCAATGTCTCTGTCATTTCCTGGGGACTTATTCCCACAGGCTTCGAAGGACTTATTCCTTTGGCTTCCCGGGGACTTATTCCCTCGGGTTTCGGGGAACTTATTTCCGCCGTATTTGTATTATAGAGACTTATTCCCTTTACTTCCTCTAGCTGTGGTTGCGCAACCACAGCGAGATCCTCTACGAAAGACTCTCCAGTCGATCTAGGATTATCGTTTCGCTTAACCTGAGCGATCGATTGTTTCTTTTCTAGTTGTTCCCCGCTAGGGATACATCTTTGTCCCGGTCCACTCGACTTATTCGAGTGGTGGACCTTCGGCGCAGCCTGTGTTTCCTCACAGCCGCCGGAACTTTGCTCCGAAGTGTAACCGTTTGGTACACTAAGGTTTTGTGCAGTCGTACTAACGACCGTACCACAAGTGAGGCCATCGCACTCACTCGTAGTACATCCACACGCTTGTGGACGCTCCAAAACGTTCATCAGATGGCCATCTGATGAACAAGTGGCAGGCATCGTTACTTTTCGATGTTGCCAGTTTACCCGTGGTTCGTACCTTCTGAGCCACGGTATTCCAAGGATGACATCAAATTTGTCATCCAAATCCAATACGATAAAGTCATCGTCATATTGGGTATCTTCTAGCGTATAGTGAATCTTCACTATACGCTTCATGACGGTTACGGATGCGCCTGTCGCAAGACGTACCGTCATCCTCGTAGGAGGTGTGTCACATTCACTGAACTTGAAGTGACCATCTTCTAGCGATTGGCGTCGCACAAAATTGTTGGACGCCCCACAATCGACTAGAGCTCGAAGGGACAACTTATTCGTCACTTCGAGTTTCAAGGTAATGAGTGAGTCCTCATTACCTAGAGCAGCAACGCACAACGTTTGTGTGTTGGGAGCAACCTTCATCAAGAGGCCTACAAATTCTCTTGACGTTGCTGGATCAGTAGGGTGCTCCGCACCTACTGATCCTGACCGTTTTTTGACGGTCCATCCCGTTGTTGCGTCTTTGCACCAACAGCGGACCCGCGTCCCTGCCCCTTTCTCATGGGTGGGCGGTCACTACGCCCAGTGTCGCGAGACACTGGACGAGGGGCACTACACTCGTAAGCGTAGTGTCCTGTCTTCTGACATCTGTTGCATTTCTGCTATTTCATGTAGTCTGTAGAGCGAGCCTTCTCGCTCTCTACATAGCAGAGTTCCATCGGCTCTGGACCTCCGCTGTCATATCGTCTCGGTTTGACGATATGATGTCGAGCTGGTGCGAGCCTGTCTCAGACTGAAGTCTTCCTGTTCCGCAATGGAAATGGCTTGTTCTGGTGAATCTAGTTCAAGTCGGAACAGTTGAGTCTTCACGGGACCATCTGCAAGACCCTGCATGAACACCGAAACCAACGTGTGTTCATCAACCGGGTTGGAACTTATACAACTCGTGAGATGTCGGATATGTTGTGCGTAAGCGTGCACATCACGCTTACCCTGTTTGAGCTTCAAGAGTTCGGTTCGAGCTCTGAGCTCAGCTCTAGGCGGTTCAAACGTTTGTCTGAGCCGCGACTTGACGACTTCTATCGACCCAAACGCGTATGGGTCGTGCTACTTGAGCCCCAGTGCCCAAGTCTTGGCACGTCCTGCCAGATTTGACTGGGCAAATGCAACTTGCATTTCCCCATCGTCGATGCGACGCGCCCTTATGGCGTCATCCAATTCGACGAACCATCTCAAGAGCGAGTCCTCTTCGACTCCCCTATACTTGGAGATGTCAATCTTCAAGGTCTCGGGTCGACGCGAGTGCATCGACCCACCAGCAGCAGCCTGCTGCTGTCTCAACAGTTCAAACTGTTGAGCACCCTGTTCTCTCAACAACTCTGCTTGTTGAGAACCTTGTTGGTGAAGCAAGTCTACTTTCACGCGTTCTGCGTCAAGTTCATTTTGAATGAACTTGGCGATAGTAGCATGTTGGGCATCTCTATTGAGAGCCTCTAGCATGACGCTAACAGCATGAATGCCCATGGTCGAACCCATCCGTTCAACCGCATCCCATTCGACATCGCTCAAATGGGAGTAGCCGTCACGCGTAGCGTGAAAGCTTTGGTCATCTTCATCATCCAACATATTCATGTTAGATGTGAACGTGGTCCTTGGACGTACTACGAAGTGCTACCAGGTGTAACAGGGCACCCTGAAGCTTGTACTGGTGACAGTACAAGCTACTTATTCTGATGACAGAATAAGGCGGTGCCTCGTTACTTCACGTACACTCGTACGTGCAGAGGAAGACGGTAAGAAGCGAGTACTTGGTTAAAGTAAAAAGTAGAACTGTATTTATAATAGTTAATGTCTGCAATAAATCACTATTTATCTTCATCTAACTATGTCTAAATACAAATGTGTAAATCAACTATCTGCTCACCACTCATTGCGTGCGTCTGTCGTGGCGCGTCTTCGTTGGTTGATAAAATGGCCTGTATCAACTAATTAGGAACTACTCGTAAGTGCTACGGAATATTGTCCTTATGACAATATTCTGAGACTATAACTCTCATAGTTATATTCTATTAACAATTTCTTATAAATTGTTATGTAACGATTCACCCCGTTACAACGACGTAGTTTAATATAGTTAGATAAAGATTAAAGTTATATTGATAGCTTAACTATGATAAACACAGTTCTCTTTTTACCTTTATTTAAACCAGTAGTTTAAGTAGATTTACCTTCCTCTGCACGTACTAGTGCACGTGAAGTTTCGTGGCACCCCAAACAAAGGGTGTCCCGTTATACCTGGTAGCACTTCGTAGTCCGTCCAACGACTACTTAGTGCCCGTCCAACATGAACATGGTGGACGTAGAAGACGACAGCTTTCACATCACACGCGAAGGGTACTCCCATCTGAGTGACTCAGAATGGGAGGTAGTCGGCCGCATGAGTGTGCTCATGGGCGAACTCGCCATCAGTGGCATGTTAGAGTCTCTGAGCAAAGATTAGCAACATGCTGCTATCAACAAGTTCCTACAAGGGGAACTTACCGTTGAAAGACAGAAGATAGCCTTGCTACAACAGCAAGGCTCTCATCAGTCGATGGGTGGGCCGACGCACATGCGTCGACCCGAACCTTGACGAAAGACATTTCAAGGTACAAGGGAACCGATGAATATTCGCTCTTGAGATGGTTCGTCGAGCTGGACGACGCCATCAGGGCCCGTCACATAGAGGGTGACGAGATGCAAGTCACCTTCGCCCTGTCAAATGTGACGGGACAAGCAAAGACTTGGGCATAGGGATCAAACTTCACGACCCAAACGTGTTTGAGTCGTTGGTGATCTTGAAGGCTCGGCTCAAAGAGACGTTTAAGCCGCCGAGAGCCGAGTTCAGATTACGCTCTGCACTCTTGAGGCTAAAGCTAGTTAAGCATGACGTGCAAGCTTACGCACAGCACCTGCGCTACCTTGCAAGTAGCGTTACGGTAATACCAGTGGATGAGCACACGCTCATCAACGTGTTCATCTACGGCCTAGTGGATGGACCGGTGAAGACCTACATGTTTTAAGAGTACTTCCATATGCTGGAAAAGGAGATAGAGCATGCGGAACAAGAAGGCTTCAGCCTGAGACAGTCTCAGGCTGAATCGTCAAACTATCGTCCGACGAGAAGACAAGAAACAGGAGGTCCCGAACCAATGGACCCCTGTTACATCGAGAGCGAGAACTCTCGCTCTCTGAGTCACAAGCGAACGCCAAGATGACACTGTTGTCAGAAGATTGGACACCACGCTCATAAGTGTAGTGTCCCAAGTACCGCAACACTTTCAAAGACAGGACGTGATGGCCACCGTTGGCCAAGGAAAGGTCCAAGGCGTGGGTCCGATCATGTCGCTAAACCGCGATAGCAAGTTGGACCGTCAAAAAACGGACAGGGTCAGTAGGGGCGGAGCACCCTGCTGATCCAGCAACGTCAATAGAATTTGCAGAAATCTTGACGAAGACTGCTCCCAGCACGCAGACTCTGTGTGTTACTGCCCATAGTAATGAGGAGTCTCTCATCACTTTGAAGATCGAAGTGACAAGTGGAATGTCGCTTCGCGCCCTAGTTAACTGTGGAGAGTCGAACAGTTTTTTTCGACGCCAGTCGCTATGGGATAATAGGCTCAACTATCTTGAGCGAGAGTTCCCTCCAACGAGGATGACGGTGTGCCTTGATACAGGTGCATCCGTAACAGTAAACAAACATGTAGTGGGAATCCACAACACGCTAGAAAGAAAACAGTACGATGATGAATTCATCGTACTAGATCTGGATGACAATGTGATGTTATCCTCGGTCTGCCATGGGCTTAGAAATACCGGCCATGGGTTAGCTGGCAGCATCGATCCGCGAATATGCCTGCCGTTTGTTCATCAGATGGCCATCTGATGAACGTCTTGGAGCGTCCACAAGCGTGTGGATGTACTACGAGGGAGTGCGATGGACTCACTTGTGGTACGATCGTTAGTACGATTGCACAAGATCACAGTGTAGAAGACCACTACACTGTGGAAACAGCTTCCGGCTCCTGTGTCGAGACACAGGCTGAGCCGAAGGTTCACCACTCGAGGAGATTGAGTGGACTGGAACACGGATTTACACCAAGAAGGGGGCATACGAGAAGAGAGATTAGTGTTGTTCAGGATGAACAACACTTTGATGCGAGATCGACTATCAGAGAGTCGATTGTAGACCAAGCCCGATCGACTGAAAGAGAGTCGATCGAAGAGGACGTGACTGTAATAGTACACGCAATGGTAGAAATTTCCAGCGTTCCTGAGAGTGATAACTCTCTCGAGAGTTATGTTGAGGGTATGGATCCTCAACCACCTGGGGATGCTTTTTCACAGTAAAGCGCCGAGACAGTGAATGTCTTATTGAATGACGGATCAAGTGTAGGCGCATACACTTAATCTGGTGATGCCCCCGAAGTCGGCATCGGAGGTAGTCAAGTTGCCAACGCTAGAATCTAAAAAATTCTTGCAAGATCAACGTAGTGACAAGATCAAGCAGATCTGCGTACTCGTCACAGAGAAGAGTACGTCGCCGATGTTTGGTCGGCACGAGTGTTTGCTGAGAACGAACGGGTTATCAGTAGCTCATCGTCGGATGAGAGTGTCCTCGATGAGAAGACACGAGTTGAGCGATACACGTCTCGATCTTGGGAGTCTTTAAAGACAAGTCATATAAATCAGGATTTAATGGAATTCAGGGATGTTTTTCAGAATCCGTGCCATGCGAGACAAAGGCACTCGGCACGAGATCGAACTGAAACCTGGTTAGACGTACTGAGTCATGAAGCAGTGGCCTCTGCCTCGTGAACAGGTCACAGAGATCGACAAATTCTTTGCCGATCGTTTAGCGGCTGGTCATGTGAGTGAATCAAATCCCCACACAGCTCTACGACCTTCTGTGTGCGAAAGGCCACAGGAGGGTGGCGGATAGTGCACGCGTTCAGCAAACTGAACGCTGCAACGGTACCGGCGTCTGAGCCGATACCGAGGAAGGACGTAATCATTGATGGTATGTCAAAGAGTACCATCTTTTCGTCCATGGATTTGATGGATGGCTTCTATCAAATCGTTATGCGAGAACGGGATATACTCTATACCGCAGTTAGCACGCCTAGCGGCATACTCTGGGAATGGCTAGTAATGCCACAAGGGCTTAGTAATGCCCCTGCCACGTTCAACAGATGTGTATCACATCTGTTGAGACCAGTATAAGAATTCGCACCGAGTTATTTCGATGACGTATTCATTCATAGTCAGGCTATGGATGGAAAGTCGGGCGTTAAGGTTCACAGATACCACGTCCGACAGGTTCTTACAATCATGCGAAAGCATCAATTGTATGCAAACCTCAAGAAGTGAAGTTTTACCGCAAGCTAATTACCACCTCTTGGCTGCATTGTGGGTAGAAACGGTCTACGCCTCGATCCGGAAAAGATCAAGGAGATGAGCGACTGGCCTGTGCCAGTCGACGTCAAGGAGCTTCGAATGTACCTTGGCTTGGCGGCGTACTTGCACAAATACTCGCGAAAGTATGCCGGGATGATCATAAATCGCTGTTGTCTGCTAAAGAAAAACTAGAGGTGGTCATGGAGCGCTGAGTGTCAGCACTTCTTCAAAATTATCAAGAAAAGCTTGACACAATCACCTATGTTGGCGATTGCAGACCAGGATAGACCATTCTATGTGGTCTGTGATGCCAGCGATTTTGCAATCGGATGCGCGTTGATGAAGTACGACTCAGACGGCGTTGAGCGCGCCGTCTGTTATCGACTGCGTCAGCCGCAAGCATCTGAGCGTAATTATCCGGTGCATGACAAGGACCCTCTTGACATGAAGTATGCACTGGACAAGTTTTGGGTATATCTCTTAGGAGATAGGCCTTTCATCGTTTATACCGACCATGCGTCGTTACGCACGGCCCTATACAGGCCACACCTCTTGCAACGAATGGCGAGGTGGCCGTCTTTCTTCGCGGAGTACAACTTCTCCGTCGAGTATAAACCAGGACGACTTAATGTTTTCGCTGATGCTCTTTCGCGTCGGCCCGATTTCGAGCCGTCTGCTTAACCCGATAGTAGGGGTGATCCCACTGTAGCAACACTATCAGTTTGTTTTCCGTCGTCGAATCTGCTCGACGACGTGCGGAAAGCATACGCAGAAGATGAGTCTCTTCTGCGGTTGATGGATTACGTGTCTAATTCATGCCGTCAAGCTTTGAAAAGCTTGCCGTCTCAGTACCTCTTTTTAACCGAACAGTATTCAGTTCGTAATGGACAACAGTACTATACAGCAGTCAAAGGCGACACACCTCGTGTCGTCGTTTCGTCTCATAATGATTTGCGATTGCGCATCATGTATGAGTGTCACGATGCCTCAACAAGTGGACATCGCAGTAGAGAAAAGACGTATCTCATGGTGAGTCGTGACTTCTACTGGCCCCGCCAGGACGAGTTTGTGCGCAAATACATTCGCTCTTGCGAAGTTTGCCAACAAGTGAAGCCTATTCCTTCGTCCCGCGCAGCCTTGCAGCCTCTACCGGTTCCGGCAGAGTGTTGGCAGTCCGTATCGATGGACTTCATCTTCGGGTTTCCCAAAGACGCTCACACGAATACTGGTATTTTTGTGTTTGTTCATCGGTTCAGCAAGATGGTACATCTTGTTGCTGTACCGGAGTCAATCACAGCCCATGGCGTGCTCGTGTCTTCATCGATCCTATCTTCCGACTTCACGGGTTACCCCGTGAACTCGTGCCTGATAGGAACCCCCGCTTCACAGCGGATTTCTGGCAATCCGTGTTCCGTTCACTTGGAACTCGTTTGACGATGTCAACTTCTGACTATCCAGAAACAGATGGTCAGACGGAACGCGTCAACCGCGTCCTCGAAGAGATACTTCGAGGGTATGTCCACTCGTTTACGAGCTGGAGTGAGTTCTTGCCGATGGAGGAATTCGCTATCGACAACTCGGTGTATGCGTCGACAACGCATACACCGTTATTCGTGAATGGCGTACGCCGTCCACGTTTACCGGCCTTCTTAGATTGTGACTCTAGTTTATGGGAAGGGTGGAATTGCTCAAACAAAAACCGATCTGGTTCTTGCTCATCACCCGTCGACAATGGTGTCGACGTGATGGATGCCGATGTCGATGCGATCGATATCGATGATGATGATGACGACGATGCTGGCATATTCAGCATCGCCAATGACCGCCAAAGTGAGAACGATGATACCCTCACTGGTGAAGACAACGTTCTTTCAGCAGTGCACAAGAAGAGCACTGCTGATGACAAGTATAAATCAGCAGAGAAATTTCTACTGACTCGCAAAGAGGTTGTCCGCTTCGTTCAAGACTCTATTGAAGATGCGCTGAACAGACGAAAGAGAAACGCAGACAAACAAGTAAAAACAAATGTTCTTTCATTTAATGAAGGAGACCTAGTTTACCTTCAACATTTTTTACCAGAACACGCAGTGACGAACGTGGACAGCAGCAAACTACTGGCAAAGTAGATCGGTCCATTTCGTGTACTGCGCCGAATAGGCAACGCATACACGATTGAACTGCCCCGTAGGATGCGAACGCATTCTACGTTTTACGTCGGTCGCCTCCGCCCGTACTATCCGTACGAGCCCGTTTCGAGATGCGAAGAACACCTCCGAAGTCGAGAGCCGAGACCACCTTCGAGTAGTCCCGTTTTAACGAGCCAGTCTGGTCGACTAGCGAAGTGACCGGTTCACGCAGTTGAGCGATTACTCGACGAACTACAGCCAGCTCGTCACGAAGAGAACGAGTCGAACGTTCGTTCTCAAGTTGCGCGAACGCAAAAGCGGCACGATCGTTCGAACGATTGTGCATTAGGGAATTGTAATTATTACTTACTAGATCCTCAAGCTCATAACGCCGAGTTCATTCGTGGGCCAGGTCATCTTGAAACTGTTCCGTTACACAATTCGGCCTTTGAACATCAAGCTAATCCAACCCTCGAGCCGGATCAGATGTTCCCACCACCACCACATCCTTTGGTAAATTCTGGCGGTGGATAACGCTTCCTAGTGGAGCGTATTTTGAACCACTGCGATGTGAATGGCGTCCGGACGAGTAACCTCGTCCGCTGGCGTGGCTACCCGCCGGCGTGGGACATCTGGGAGCCTCGTGTCCAGCTAATTGTTGATGTCCTTGGTCTAGTCGAGCAGTACGACGAGACCCACCCGTGCGTTCGAAGAAGGGCCGTCGGAAAATGACCTCCCCGAATGCAAGTACAGGGATTGCATGGTGTCAATCTCTTCGGTTATCTCGGAAGAGATGCGCGCCCTCCATTAAGGACCATTAGGGAGGAAGGCCTCCCTAGGGGAACGAATTGAGTTGTCCAGGCAACCTGGACACGAATCACCCCACGAGAGACAAGGTAATCCTGCCTCTTTAAAGCCGGTGTAACATGTATCGCGCCCCGACTGGGTTGCGTTTCTCTAACCTGATGCGAGCTGTATCAGGTTTGGCGAGCCAGGCCTCACGGCCAATTCACTCGATGTTGTGGATGAGGGCATTCATCCCTGCACCAAGGCTTTGCCGTCTCCTACACGGCTACCTTTCTACCACCGATGTTTGAATAACGCATAGGTGAGAATTTTTCCTCAGCACGGATAGTTTCCGTGCTGGAATCAGGTGGGCAAATCTTCTTGCAATCGAATAACGGGATTCAATCCCGTTCGGTAGTCATGCCGGCAAACCGATCCAACTCTCTGGATGACGGCATCCACGTAAAATTTACTTGGGGAGCGTGGCGAAGGACATTTCGGTCCCTGGCCTCATGATTGGTTCCAGCATGAGCACTGAGACCCGTTTTACCCCGATCCCTCGAGTTACTTCACTCATAGTGATGTATAGGTGCATCAACACCATCACCACGCGTCCTATCGTTGGATGGACTTGCGTGAGGTGGAGATTCGTCGGAATAATCACTCTATCCGAAGATCTCATGCATGATACCGCCGCGTGACTAAAGCCAGTCAATTTGGCTCTTGCAGTGTCCGCACCGGGTGATCCGGAGGCGTGAGGTGTCGCCTTCGAGTCAATTGCATCATCTGAGTCGCCAGAATAGATGATCTCTATCTCAGACTCATCTTAGTTACGATTCGTTGTACCCGCTGCAGACGCAACGGATGTACCTGTTGCACGTGGTGACTCACCACGTGAAGGATTCACAACAACAGGCGACGAATCGCCTGCTGCTGAGGTGTGGGAGGCACTTTCCACGGCCGCACGCATGCGTGCGGCCGCCTTCTTGCTGCTGCAGTAGAATCTCGCGTAATTTTCGAAACCATGCATCGGATTGGCAAATGAATGGTATTTGACCAACAAGTGCTCCCTTTCCCAGGGTTGATCCAACGTTGATCACCCTGTCCCTATCGATTCTATTGAATTACCGGTGATTGATGGTTAAGACGGTGATGTAACGGGGTAGACAGTCACATGAGGTTGACCTTAAACGGTGTCAATAGCGATATTGAATAGAATGACAATATTCTACTAATAATTTCCGAGATTGATAATATTGAATGAATATTGAACCCTTTAATAATATTAATGCCTGCCCCAAGATTGGTTGATAACGTATCAACCATAGATTGCCACCAATCGCTGCTAGACGTGCGCAATGAGTGGTGAGCAGGTTGTCGTCATACGACGACGTATTTTAATATAGTTAAATAAAGATTAAAGTTATATTGATAGCTTAACTATAATAAACACAGTTCTCTTTTTACCTTTACTCAACTTAGTTGTTGAGTAGGTTAGCTTCCCCTGCACGTACTAGCGTACGTGAAGTTTCGTGGCACCCAGACAAAGGGAGCCCCGTTACATGCGGCGTAAGTTGCTTTTCACGCACAATCCAGGACACTGTTTGACGTCCTTATTTTAGACTAATGTGGCGCGTAAAATTAACATATAATAGTTTTCCAGGACGGTCAACAAGGCGAGTGCATATTCATTTCAAGGAACATGTACCTGTGCTCTCAGATAAGCGTGGTAGACCAAGAAAAGCGGCAGAATTATCAACGGAAAAGCCACCAGATTCATTCCAGAGCCACACATTACGGATGTGTGGAAGTTGTAACGGGCACACCTTATTCAGCAAACTAAAAAAAACTTGTACTGCTGACAGAGCAATGGTATTTGCATCCGACTACCTCACGTACACGAACGTGCAACGAAAGATTGCCACACGGAGTAATAGTACTCAGTAATGGCAAAAATAAAAACTGTGTTGAACATAGCTAATCATTTTATCAAAAATTTATTATACTGCATCAAAAAATGTCTTAATTCAAGCATATGTTTTAACTATCTGCACAACCCTCATTGCGTGCTTCGTCGTGGCTCGTTTTTATTAGTTAGTCGTTCGTTCATGTATTTATCGATGAGCAGTGTAGCGAAGCTACACAGCTTTTCAAGTCAGAGGAAGACTTAACGTCTAACGAGCAACTTAGTTCTAAAGAACTAGTCTTAATGAGTCAACAAGCGTGAGCTTATGGTCCTTGTTCCAGGGAACCAAACGATTCAGTGAATCGACAGCACTTAGTGCTCGAGAGTAACTAGATACCTCAAGGAGGTGTTGCTAAATCTTAGTGATCAGTGATCAAAGACCAAAGACGCCTCGCAAGGCACGTGTCTTTAAGATCAAAATAAGAACTGCATTTTATTCCATTTGAACCTATAGAATATCGTAATCCTAATCTAGACAATTACTTCCTAAGTTTTTATAACTAATATCTCTCCTATCTGGTGGCTGACACCACTCATCCCCTACAAACCGATAATTTATATTCTAGATCTCTTTCAGTGGGATATCATCCGTGTGTCTAAGACACAGGGTACCAGGTATCCAACTACGTGTAACACCTTTACACCCTCCCCCAACGGATTGAAGTTACCCAAAACGTCAATCAAACCTTGTTCAAATCGAACGTTTCCGTCGAATTTTTTTCTTCCACGAGGTCAGTGCACTTGCGGATCACCTCTCGGTAACGTAAAGCGTAGCACGATGTCCTCATCACCCAAAGAGTCAATCCATTTTATTGATTACCTCGAAATGGGGAAGGTAGTGGACTATGGTAGCAATATCAGTGTCCCGGGTGATGCAGGGACAATGTCCGATACACTCATGTCCGAGGTAAAACCTCGTGCTGCCCCTGTCCGTTCCCTAAATGTGATATTGAGAATCGTCCATTGGCGCCACGCTCAACACTCGGTTCAGATGATACCATTATCACGAACCCGCTCGACGAGCAGCAACAGTTGCTTCTCTTACAAGAAAAATTACTCGGCGCCATGCTCAAATGCTCGCAATCCTCGAGCACCAACGTGATTATGTGTTCATTTCACCCAGTGTGGAGGAACGCTTGCGTCAAGCGACCGGCCAATGGTTGGCAACGTGGATCATTTTAACCATAGGCCCAAGTCTCCTAAGGAGGTGGCGAGCGTTCGCGCACTTAGCGAGAGGTACCTGGAGCCTCACCTAAAGAACCGAGGTCGATACAAGGCACGACTTGATATGCAAGCACGTGATGCACCGGTCCCACCGATTAAGGGTAAACTTATTCTCTTGTCTGCAGGCGAAACAGAGAGCGAAGAAGACACTGCTTTCGTCCGCTGAGTGCACCGCATACGTCGCCTCAGTAGTATGGCTGCTCTGAGAACTATTACAAATGTGGCTTATGTGCGTCTCGGACGCAAGTTTCGGTGTGAATACGCCAAGCTTCAGTCCAGAGGCCAATTGCGTAGTCCCACGCAAGATGCTTCGGCTACTACGGTAGGCGCGAGCGTTGGTCAAGCTATGACCAGCAACCCGCCAACCCACACCACTAGTGGTGGGAAACGGCCTCGGTCTCAAGATGACCTTGGCCACGATGTTCAAAACATCCAAAGCATAAGGGCAATCTTGCCGTAGGGGTACCTCGGATTCTTATGAGTTCTCAGATTCAGGGTACCCACACCACTCCACCAGATACTGATATTTGCCATGACGACGACGTCGTTTTAGTATTCTCTCGACATGAAACTGACGACGCATATGCTTATCGAGCAGCGTCGGTGGTGGCCGGTGTACCGGTGGCAATCCACGAGAAATTGGTTCTCGAAGTGAAGGGTCTTCAAGAGACTCTGAAGAAGACCCAATGCATGCTTGATGCGATGTAGAGCCGCCTTCGGGTGATGTAGCATACTTAAACTCGAAGCCAGGCTCAGTTGGACTTGCCAATTTTGCTTGAAGCAATCCGGGACACCGCCCTCAATGTCGGCGCCAGCGCCTCAGAGTTCACATGGGAAGAATCCCGCTACGGCTTAAGTAGCCTACGTAGAATACAGGGTGTGTGCAAATTGCGTGGAAGGTTAATTGTATACGTAAGACCCTTCTTGGCGGTGACCGTAAACGGTCCGAAAAAACGTGGACGCAACTTTGTCTTGGAGATAGCAGACACTACATTTGTACGTAGGTTTTAAGCATCGAGTAAAACACGGTCTTCAACCTCATGACTTTCAATACAATTCCTGCTTTTGGCATCAGCTTGTTGTTTTTGTTGTCTTGGCTATCAGCCATTGCTTCACACAAATGTCGTAAGACATTTAATCGCGTTTCGAGAAACTTGCCACCTGTTTTTGAACAGTAGCAGGGCTGATATCAGCTAGCCAATCGGCAACCTCTTTCCCACTAAGCCCTTAACCACCGAGTGGCAGCGTTAACTGAACGCGAGGGTGGGTGAGACCTTTTACGTAAAACGGAGTAAAGCCTGTGGAAGAATAAACAACATAGTTCAACGCACATTTAACAACAGGGAGCATTCAGCTCCAGCGCTGTGGCT